CTTCTGACATCTGCAGATGGTCTGTACGAACCAAAAGCTGTACATGTGAATGAGGCGGGTGAATTGCTAGTGGGGGACGACAAAGGCCAGCTGTTCACTGTCAACTACTGAGACTAAGGTAAATATGAAACAATAAAACAACAACAGCAACTAAAACACAACATCTGATACTAAAGTATGACATAAATGAAATGTTTTAAGATACTCATTGGATAAAATAGACTTCAAATTGCTAAATCTAATTAATCTGAAATTAGTAGAATGTAAATAATGAATGTAAACAATATGAATTTTTTTTTTCTGACAAGTATTTGTTGAACTGTGGAACAAATCTCATATTTTTATCTTCATTTGTGTCATTTAATGAATTGAAAAGTGGACTTGTTCAAAATAGATATGAAACAATTGAATTTTGATTATGATTTTTAATGTTGTCTTTCAGTCTAGCTCCCTGAAAGTGAACAGAATAATCAACAACAACATCAGCAATAACTTAACAACAATTACATCAACAATAAAAAACAAGACAACAAATCCAACAACATTGACAGATTGAATAATTACAACAACCTACCCGGTCCTATTACCATCGCTAATTGGCGCCTCGGTGGTAGAAAAATTGATGTTGCCATATATTTAAGTTAAAGTTTTTTGTTAAAAATACGGACCCATGTCACGGTAGTATAACATATGAACTGTGACATATATGAATTTAAAGCCTCTATCTACTAATATGACGGGCTGAGACCGAATTAATTATAGCGGTGTGGTTAATTGGCGCCCGTAGTCGTGGTTCACAAAAATACACCATTTCTCTTAATTTTATGAGAAATATCAATCACCCGATGGTCTTTTTGTGTTAAATCTTCCTTATTTTGATTAATGCAACTTTTAAAGTTGTTTAATTCGCTTTACTCACTTCCTCGAAAAATTGTCTGGCCTAATAAGTGTAGATTATTATTTTCCTGTCCTTGAATCAACAAATATGTTCACGCGTACGTATAACATGGACTATACGACCCATGGAGAAATTGAACATAGCATTTTGTTGCCCTTCGTTATAAGAAGCAATACCCACCGTCAGAATTGTTAAAAACAATTATTTAACCCTATAAATCAACGTGCATCCATTTTACCAAAGTGTGTGGTTAATTGCCGCTTGGTAGTGGTAAATGTGGTTAATTGGCGCCTAGGTTAGGGTTAAGTTAGGGTTAATTAGGGTTAGGCTGGGGGAGGTGGAAAATGCTAGGGTTAGGTAATATTACGCGACAGAATAACAAAACAAAGCAAGATCATGTATATACTCGAGCAGCTTTGGTTTTAATGCTCGTATGCTCGTATATTTCTGCGAAATCTGATTTAGGCATTTTATTTTTTAAATGTAGGATATATCACATTAGAAGAAATAAATACCAAGTCCTTTGAAAAGTTGACAATGCATGATCGTGTTAAAATACTGCATCATATACACTACTGGTCTGGCAGCGTCGATCTACTGGCAAGGTGTGCATGGTTACTATGGTAACCGGGATTGAAAATAGACATATAGATAACGTTGACTTTCCACTCGGATGTACTCGCGAACTAAAAATATTATTTACTCGTTTATATACTGTTTATGTACATTTGTAATATTCACTTGCCTATGAGGCGATACAATATATGTATTCTGACGGCCACTGTTGGATTAGTTACCATGGTAGCCGACTGCAAACCAACATGAAATAACTCTTAAGAAGGCCGATGTGATTTTTAAAAAGTGGCAATATGCTCTGTTATGCATATTGCCACTTTAGAAATTAACAGGGGGGCAAATTTTGAGTCTGGAATGATTTTTTGGGCCCAAAACCTAAAAAATGTCTGGGCCTACCAAGGGGGGTCCATAGTCACCCGGATCCACCACTGCTACCGTTAGTAGCTTGGTATTTAAAATCTCGCACGGTAAATGTCGTTTTGATATATTCAGTTTTCATAGAATTAAACTACTTCATGAGTTGATGCAATGCTTTGAAATTTGAACCAAATCAGACATATACATTAAAATTTTAAATGTTTGGTAGTACTTTGAATTTAAAAACTAAGTAATCAATGACTATAGTGCAACAGTATATAAAAATAGAAACATATATATATTTCAGATAGTTATGTACAGGGTGGTCAAATAAAACGGCAACCCTGCCTCTATTTTCCTCATATCTTTGTGATTTTTGAAAATTATCCCCTGATATTTTTTACATGTGTACATGTACATCATTCAATCTCCTACCTACGATATTTCATGACCATCAGATTAATAGTTACAATGCTACGGCACTTTGAACATCATCTCCCAGAGGCCAAAATTGCGCTGTGGGCAAAGCTGCACCCGTCATTCAAAATGTTCAAACCTGACCTTTCGGATATGGCAAAGATAAAGTGTCCAAAAGTGACCTCAGGACAATTACAGACCTCAAAACGGAGATCATAATTGTCATTCAGGATACCTACTGAGGATTGCAGTTGGGTCATAGACAACTTGTGCAGGTTTGCCTAACCTAAATACAGGGTGTCAAATAAGTCCCGCCCCCCCCCCCTCTACAGCCAAAACAAAGATATTTGGTACCAAGTGTGATTTATCATTGGAAAGGTCTTCCAAAGTTACATTGTTAGGCATATATCTGCATGTGTTTGTATATTGTGTGAGTGCCATTGTTTTCAAACCAAACTCCCTAAGCCAGAGACATATAAAATGTTTTTCTGCCTAGCTCCACCCCCGTAATGCGTAATGGCCATATGCATCCATGTGAATGTGAATACTAATATGCCTGGGCCAAACTGGTCAATCCTTATATAGAACCCCAAAAATCTGGAGGATTTCATCAGATTCCGAAGCGTCGATCGCGAGCCTTTGATCTTCATCCAGCGCTATAACCCACGGCCCTTTTCAGGGCCACCATTTTTTTACAAAAGAGAAATTAGTACACTTATGAATTTCCTTGGTGTATTTGGATGCATGTGTTTGTATATTGTGTGAGTGCCATTGTTTTCAAACCAAATTCCTAGGCCAGAGACATATAAAATGTTTTGACTAGCTCCACCCCTATAATGGCCATAAACATCCACTTTTCAGGGCTACCCAATGCGTTTTTGACAACTGACAAGGGGACTTGGGCTATAAATATGTGACTTTGGAATATTTCTACATATATCTGGCTTACAAATGTTTTGGAAGTGTATACAGTAACAACTAATAGTTTTTCAATCAAAATCCCGGGAAACCTTTTCGTTCAGTGAAACATTTACTTCCGGTTTCCATGTTTGAATTAACGGTTCAAATACAATCCACAGCGTCTTATCGCAGCTATCAAATTTTCAAATTGTAGTAACCAATACACCTAAGGTATGTCTTATTAGCTCATTTAAATTTTAAATAGTACTCTTAATTCTATTTTAAGCCAATTTGCACCTTGTGTAAGCGTGTGATAACACAGGGTGATGATGAAAAAGCCTTGGCTCAGAGTAAGATTAAAAAAAATTAAATCGAAAAAAAGATTGAATGACAATAAAGGGTCCCCCTCCCCGCGCTAGGCCCACTGGAACCTGTATCAACAACTGACATCGATTAGATGACCGAACCTGGTAGAATATTCACATCAAAAGTAACTCAACAGAGTATAGGTCTAAAGCAGCCACTAGCCTAATAGAGTAGCCTCAGGATGTGAACTATCTCCAATCGTTGTCAGATGTTGATACAGATTCCTGTGGCTAGGCCTTGTACTTGAGGATAACTGTCTCTATATATTTTCCTGTATGTATCAAGTGTGTCTGTAACTGGACACTGTTAATTGTGATGTCATTGGGTTAGCCAAAATTATAGGGGTGTCAGGCTGAAATAATGAATTGGGTAGCAAAAAACATTAGAATAATTTGGCAATGATGTTTATCATTGCTGGTCAGTGGCAAGGGTCATTTTATGTCCTCCCTCGAATTATCCCTTCCTCATAACCCTGTGGAAGAAAATTGAGTTTTTTTGGTTATATATATTTTGCAAGTGGATCCAAGAGACCAAGTGGGCGAGTCAATTTTTGCAATACGTTAATACGTCTAAATCCAAACAGGGGGTAAACCTAGACTATATCCTATTTAGTCTGAATTATATTCAGACTATAAGGGGAGGCATCAAAAGATCAATGTCTGATAGAAAACTAAATAAATCTAGTTTGGGGGGAGGGGGTCAAAGCTATTTCAGTTTGCTATCCGACAAATTTCAACATTTAAGTTTTTGCAATTTTGACTCGGAATGCCTTGGAATGGTTTAAAAATAAAAACTTTACCAGATGCCTTCTTCATCAAGATGCATGCAACATGGAATATAATGCCTATTGTTGTTGGCACATGTTTTAAATTACACATAAGTTATAGTACTGCCCCCATGAAAGTCCAAATTGAGTCGCTAAAACATGTGAAAAGTCCATGATCAACTTTCATTGTATTTAGTTTTGAGGGGGAGGGGGGGGGGGTCTAACTCAAAACTAGATTTATTTAGTTTCCTATCAGACATTGAACTTTTGATGCCTCCCCTAAGGCACCTATGTTAAAGTTTGGTAATTCCAAATATTTGTTTACATAGGAAGTGCTATTCAAAATGGCCGATTGTTAAAAATTAATTTGCACATTTGTTACTTCAACTAGCTTTATTGTCTATCAACTTTGAAAATTTGATTTTTTTTGAAAATGTGACTTCTAGCTCGGGTTGATTCCTCATAGACCCCATGTTACAAAATCACAAAAAGTGAAATATCTTTTCTTGTATTGGACAGATAACATTTTCTTTTACTGGATATATTTTAATTTGCATAACAATTGCCCGAACGAGCCACCTGGTGGCGAAACTGGTAACTACTTACTCGCATCTGCGTTATTGAAATTTTGTAATTTTTATTTTATTGAAGAAATGGTTCCTCTAATTGATAATTTTGTGCAAAAAATTTCACTGCAATTTCCACAGGAAAGTAGTACATCATAACAGACTGACTTCTAGTCAGTCTGTTGGATACATACTAGGGATAAACCCAGACAGGTTGCAAATAATGGCAGGCAAATCATTGAATTGAATAGTATCTCTACTACCTCTATATAATATTTCTATCCTGAAAGATACCATATAATGATATATACCAACACTCTGAACTCTCCAACACATTAACGATAAAATAATCCACTTTGATGATTTAAGTGTTCGGAATTACCCCAACAAACCCTATGCCTTTAAATAAATAGATTTCATTTGTAAATCAATTATATTTGGGGTTATTGATATGCAGGGGTGTCAGGATCCAGTATCATTAGTTTAGGATACCATATAATGATATACCATCAATATAACAAGTAAAACCAAGAAGTTTAGTTAAGTGTTTGATATTACCCCCATGCTAGTGTTCGGAATTACCCCTAAAAATCTCCTGTTTGGATTTACCCCCCTAAAATACATTGCAGTAAAAGTGGTATAACCCAGATTTTTTGACAATTTATTGGATTTTTTTCTGCAAACGCATTTTACAGCGTCTAATTCACATAACATATATATAAAATTATTCTACAAATGTGCAGTACAGCCAAGCTAACTACACTTTTTGATGGGGGTGTTTGGAAATAGATGTATTGACTCTACTCTATTGAACACCTGTGTCTAGTGAACACCAATTCCCAGCCAGTGATTTCAGTACAGTAAAACTGTCATAATGAACATCTCTTTAGTGAAGATCTGTGACTAGCAAACATATGAGTCTACTCTATTGAACACCTGTGTCTAGTGAACACCAATTCCCAGCCAATGATTTCAGTACAGTAAAACTGTCATAATGAACATCTCTTTAGTGAAGATCTGTGACTAGCGAACATATGAGTCTACTCTATTGAACACCTGTGTCTAGTGAACACCAATTCCCAGCCAGTGATTTCAGTACAGTAAAACTGTCATAATGAACATCTCTTTAGTGAAGATCTGTGACTAGCGAACATATGAGTCTACTCTATTGAACACCTGTGTCTAGTGAACACCAATTCCCAGCCAGTGATTTCAGTACAGTAAAACTGTCATAATGAACATCTCTTTAGTGAAGATCTGTGCCTAGCGAACATATGAGTCTACTCTATTGAACACCTGTGTCTAGTGAACACCAATTCCCAGCCAGTGATTTCAGTACAGTAAAACTGTCATAATGAACATCTCTTTAGTGAAGATCTGTGACTAGCGAACATATGAGTCTACTCTATTGAACACCTGTGTCTAGTGAACACCAATTCCCAGCCAGTGATTTCAGTACAGTAAAACTGTCATAATGAACATCTCTTTAGTGAAGATCTGTGCCTAGCGAACGTATGAGTCTACTCTATTGAACACCTGTGTGTAAGCCAACACCAATTCTCATCCAGTCATTTCAGTAACTTTTAGAGGGGATTGTACCCACAGTAAAACCTGTCTAATCTGAGGGACCAGCTGAAAGCGTTCAGATTAGGTTCACATTTTGAGGTTTTGCATTTGCGAGATTTTGGATTTTGAAGAAATAGGAACAAATTCTCCATAAATATTTATAGTTCTTTTTACTACATAGCCTTATGGCATTACAGTGACATGATCCGATTCAAATGAATTTAGTCATCCTAGAAAGCTCCACAATGAGTCAGATCATTAAAGTTTTTTTCAAATATTTGAGCATGTTTATACAATGGTATACATTTCATACAAATTTGAGCATATTTGTATGAAACATGTGATTTTTATGAAAAGTGTTCAGATTAGATAGGTTAATTTTTCAAACATGACTGTTCACTGTTCAAATTGGGAGGTGTTCGGATTAGCCAAGTGTTCAGATATACAGGTTTTACTGTACTACAGGTTTTTGTAGCAGTCATGTTAAAATTATCATAAAATATGGCACTTCCACAAACACTAAAGCAAAGGCAAAGGATGCCTTCTATCTAAGAATAATAACTTTCTGTCTCAATGTCTGGTCTTCTATGAGATATGACACAATGAAAGATTAGTTTGAATGGTTAAGCACTGCTCTCATGATTACCTGGTGTATTTTCTCTGACTAGCCTCTTAACAATTTTTGAAAAATCTCCATTCATTATCCCATAGAACGAAGTTTGGAGGGATATAGGGAATGCCTCCGTCTGTCGGTTCGTCTGTCCGTCTGTCCATCCATCCGGGCAATAACTCATATACCATCGGCCAGATTTAAGTTCTGCTCAAAAGCCGTTTTTCAAAATGGCAGCTTATTAAAAATGGGGGTCATTTTAGTGCCAATTTTACAGTAATTTTGGTACAATATGTAAAACTGGAATAGCAATATGTTTTAAATGTAAAAAAATTATATAGGACATAATAAAGCTAAAAATGTAGATATGAAAGAAGCACATGGCAGCCATCTTGAAAAATAGTGGCCTTTACTCACTATTTTACGATTTTTGCTATAAATCGAAAAGTAGGGGAGCGATGTTTGGTACATGTGAATACTATAAGCATGGCCCACTGTCTTTAGGGTGTTTTATTTTTGGAACCTTTTTTCAGATCAAGTTGCTATTCATACATTATGATCTATGGTTAGTAGGGACAGCACAAAAAAGATGTCAGCCAAATCGGACATCTTTTGCCTCATCCCCCCAAGCCATCTTTATTTGACAAGATTTAGCATGAATACATTAGATTCAATTATGAAACATGTACTAAATTGAAAACTGACATATAAAATATCAAGAATATAGTACTCCACTTATTTTATATGTCAGTTTTCAATTTTGACTATTACTATAACTCGAAAAGCAGTTCCTTACTTAAAAAGCAATAACTCAAATACCATTAGCCTGATTTTGTTCATATTTTGTATACATATACCTAATGGGCAATCCTGGTTACCACAGTAATGATATGATTTTCTAAAACTAACTTCACCAATTTATAACATATCATGAATCTTTTGGGAGATATAGTATTTGAGATTGTAAGAAAAACTTGTCACTTGTCTGTCTGTCTGTCCGTCTGTTCGTCAGTCTGTCAGTCAACAATTGGCCAGTTTTGAAAACTCCCTGATGACTCTTGGTTCAAAAGCTCACCCATTTTCAAAATGGCCGCCATTTTTGTCTCTTGAAATGTGTCCTGCATTGTAAAAATGCCATGTCACCGTAAAGAGCCTGATTTATGCCTCAGAAAATTGTCTTTGTTATTTGTGGTTTTAAAACTCTTAAATGGTCACCTGAATGCTTTTAAAAATGGTAGAAATTCTGATATATCTCTAATGTTTCAAATGTTTATATTTTTGTGACAAATACAGATTCATATGTTTAAGGCTTTCGTTGGGATTTGCTACCTGATGGAGTTGCCGTTTTCTATTTATATTTTGCCAAATCTTGCCTGGACCTTTGTTGATATTTTCAGAAAATGGCTAAATGTCTTATATGTACAAAGGTGCTAGCTGAGGGACAGATCATGATCTGTCATTCTTGCATTGATGTAGTAAGTCTTCCTTTTCCTTCAAAATCTGATAACCAAACTAAATAAAGTGTTGTATTTATGATATTTAAAAATCTAATGTACTTTTTATGTCATGTTAATACTTGTACTTATTCTTATCATGTACTTATTATATTGTAAGTTTTCCTTATCTTTCAAAATCTGATAACCAAACTAAATAAAGTGTTGTATTTATGATATTTAAAAATCTAATATACTTTTATGTCATGTTAATACTTGTACTTATTCTTAATATGTATTTAAATATTTGTTGTTCTTATCATTCAGATCGAGGAGAAGCGCAAAGAAAAGAGGAAACATAGGTAATATTCTATAATTAATTAATGTTTGTTTGAAAGAACTTTCTAAATGAATGGATTCTTGATGTAAATTTCAAATATTTCAGTTAATCTAATCTGTACATATTTTAGAACTTATGCTGAAGTGGTGTGTCCCCCAGCAATAGAACTATGCGGGGATGTCATAGCCTGTGAGCCAGAGTAAGTTTAATATTTATTGGTTCTGAATGAAATTCAATTAATTTAATCCCCTATTACCCGGTTTGAGGCCATTTCGTCATTCTCTTGTCAAAATACCATAATTATTGCCTTCATATTAAAACAGCATTTTAGTAATTTCAAATTGGTGGGCAAGTCTTCTGAATCCTTCAGTATTGCACTTGTTGATGTTACGTTTTAATTTACAACCATTTAATATCAGAAACCATCAAATGGTACGCTATTGTAGCTTAATCTCAGTCCACTTAAAGGTCTGAAGAGAATGAGATATACGTGTGATTATAATTTTGTACTTAGGACATCTGAGGAGTTAAACCAGGCTGTTGCAAAGGAGGCTTCAGAGAAATGGGATGATGGAACGCCAGGGACTATCCTAAGTCCCACGCATGGCTCATTTAGATACAAGAAGGTAATAATTAGCTGTCAATAGAGAAATTATTGACATTTCATGTTTCACAAATTTAAGCTTATAATATACTTATAGAAGAAAATACAAGGTGTTTTTTTTACTTTATTGGGAGAATTTGTGCTCCACTGGGAACATATGAAAATTGAATATTGTTTATAGCTTGATAAGGCCCTTTAAATTATAAGTATTTATATAAGTTTATGTAACACTGTAAATCTAAAATTCTCTAATGTTTAAAAGTTTCAAAAAGTGACAAGTGAGAATCACTGTGATGCAAATAATTTTTTTATTACCACTTGGCAATTATTTATCTCAATGAATTTGGTCCATATAGAATTAATTATATCAATGTCCTCTCTTTAAATCAATGTATTTTCTTATTTACATTTACTATTTGATATGATAAAGAGCTATCTAAGGCGAAGCAAGAGCATGATTTTGAGATTTAGCTAGAAACCAGTTAAATAAAAAAATGACACCTTTCTTTACCTAAGCTGTTGACCATTGCCTTTGTCACAGCTTGTTTCTTTATATGTACATTGTTTGATTGTATTTAGACAATTCTTAAAACAAACCTTTATTTTTTGACCCATAACCATGAAAATGAGCATGAGGCCAGGTCAACGGAGCCAATAACTCTGGAGCCGGTAACTGCAGTAGATGAGGTAGGAGTCAGTCCAACACATGACTAGAAATTCTTCTAGTGTGCAGCCTTATAAAAACAGCCATTTTCTCGAAATTAAATTGTTGTATTGAATATCATGTAACCGTCCCAACATTTCAACCATGAAGATTAAAGGAAAACCATTACTTCAAACATTAGAAAATCATTGCACAAGTAAAGTAACTTCACCCAAGTATGACTCAAACATAGTGTTTGTTGAGAAAGGAGAAATATAATGTAATATAATGTAAAAGTTCAACAAAATGATTTGTTGCTTTGTTATGTAAAACTAAATGAATTAAGATGCCTTTGCCCAATTAACTTAAGAATGATGAGTGCCAAAAATCAATATGCCTATGAGCATGAACTCAAAGTCATATCCAGTGCCAAAAATAATTAACAATGGCAAGAGTCACTTAATTTCTTGATTGAACAAGCAATTCCTGAAGGCTCAAGTATTACTAATAGAATACTATTACTTCACTCCCAAAATTAGGCTAAAACACCACTAATAAACCACTCTCAGTCTAATATTCTACTAACAAATCACTTCTGAAACCTGGTATGTTCAATTTCTCTTTTACTTGGGACTATTAGACACTATGTTTTTTCAGAACCCCTTTGATATTGAGGAAGGGGTGTGCAGGAACTGCAACATTTACCACTTAGAGTCCGAGGTGTGTACCATGCTAATTACTGTTTGATCATGCCTGATAGAAATGCATGCATCTCAGCAATTCACATTTCTAAATTATCATTTAACATTGTTATCTTCATTCATTTTAAGAAAGCTTTGGTACTTGCTCGTTCATTATAACCTTTGGAGGGACTTTTGGATCATGATTTTAGATTTGTCTCTTTTTTAAATCATCAAGTGCTTGTTAGACCAAATGTTATTATATTGTTTTATTTTTATTTGACATGTACACATGTACATGAGGCGACCCATGAGGCCCCAGCTCATAGACCAGCCACAAGACCAGCCCAACCAGCTCCTAGACCAGCCACAAGACCAGCCCAACCAGCTCCTAGACCAGCCACAAGACCAGCCCAACCAGCCAGACCAACCCCAATACCAACCCCAATACCAGCCCCAAACACGGTGGAGATCTGTGAGGTGCGTTTCCTTGGGTCCATCCTTGTGTCAGGTACATATATATTATATTATTATTAGACTTATTGTTAGTGTAAGCAAACCATCAAAAGTGGTGACAAATTGTTATAGCCTTCCACAAAAATCGATGATGGTTGTGTAGTTTATTGATCCGCCTTTGGCTTCCGTAATAAATTCTTAGAAAATGGAGACCATAACAAATGATGTTATTTGGACACAATTTCCAACAAATGGTATCTGTCTGTAGCAACATTTTTACAATTGTTGCCTGTAACAAAATCTTACAAATTGCATCTGCAACAAGTTCTTATTATAGAGGGACAAGAAAATGTGGCCATTGACAATGTGATGGCAGATCGAGAGGCAAAGGCCGTGTTCAAGACCTGGAATTCGGTCTTGACTGTCACTTCCGCTGGTGTAATAAAGTATGTATTTCACATAAACCAAGCAATATTTTTAGCCAATTCTTACATGGACTTGTATTTAAGCATGTAAGTTTTCTCCTTTGGAAACAGTGTTTAGTTTAGAATACCATATACAAATAGTGTTTTGGGTTAGCCATATCACATATTCATCTATCTACTTACCAACAAAGAAGCCCTAATCAGTCAGTTATGTGCTAATTTTGTGATTATCCTGACTAGTCAAATTGTTTTAGTCAAAATTAATCATCTGAAACTTGACTAATCTGGGGAAATTCATCTGATTGGGTCATAAATTTGTTTATCAGTATGATTGGCTGCCTGCCAGTGCCTGGCTCAAGGCACTTCGAGTTTGCCAATGAAATGAAATGCTAACTATCTTTTCTAGGCTGGAAAAATGCACCTCAGATGAAGATAATGACACCCTAAGCTTCAAGGCACAAGAGGTTGTGTTCATTCATCACCCAATTCATGAGAAGTAAGTCTATCTAAGAAATATTGCTTAGATTTTGCAATCTGCGTTTTATTTTAAAATGGAGGATCTAAAGAGTGAATCAGATTTATGGAGCAAGTAAAACCAAAATTGTTTGGATTTTTGTATATTTGAAGTCTATTTTCTAATCTTACAACAAACCACTGCATCATTATTATTGTAGACTGTTTGCCATGAAAGTAGGCCCTAGGGTGTACTGCTTTGACGCAGATTTGACAGCGCAGGATATCATTGAAGTCATCGATGCAACTGTTGCCAAGACTAAAGAGGTGAGTTCAATTCTCTTTGTATAAATTGGCTGTTTTACTGATTATTTTCTGCCTGTTTCCCAATCAGTCATTGAGCCATTGAAGTTTTTATTAGTGATAAATGATTGTTTGTTTATACTTCTTAAAAATATAATGATTGAAGATAAAAAGAATTGAAAAATCTTACTGAACTCATTTTAATTTTTAATTTCATAGGAAACCGAGAATATCGCCCCTAGTGAGTAAAACATAGTGAAAGAAATGTTTCATTTTATTACATTTTGTGAGATGCACTCCTGTTATTGAAACTAAAAACTATAGACTTTAATGTATAATTGAAATGAATTTTTAAACATGATATCTTTTTAAAGGGAAGGAATTATCAGGGTTTGTTAATAGAGGAATCTTCAGATGATTAACAACATATGCTGAAATTGATGGATAGCTAATGAAATTCCTATGTGGAAATATCATTTACAATCCTTGATACAAGCATCTAAATTAGTTTGGATAACCTATACATGGCATTCTACCATCTAATATTTATAACAGTTTTCAACATTAACTTGGAGTGCATCTTGCCACATTATTTGTTATGTTTGACTTCATATTACGTTTTTGAAAGAGCCTCATAAAAATCACACATAAAGAGAGATCCAGCAAAAAAAATTGATTTGCAAAACCCTATGAGGCTCTTGTGTTTCCATGCATTGTGTATTATGAATTGTTGAGTTTTATGAGACTAAAAGGATACTATTTGGAGGATCTAGTTTTTGGTTTGTATGTAATGTTCATTTCTCTTTGATAATTGAAAGGACTTTAAGGCTATTTTGGAGGATTTGGTTTGTATTTCTATTTGGTTTGTATTTGGTTTGTATTAAGTACCATACGGAGTAATGCTAGGAAAGAAAATATTTGGAGGAGTTGGTTTGTATAATGTTAAGTTCTCTCCATCATATGAAAGGACCATTAGGAATAATGCTTGCAGAGAAAATATTTGGAGGATTTGGTTTGTATTTTAATTTGGTTTGTATTAAGGAACATAAGGAATAACGCTAGCAGGGAAAATATTTGGAGGAGTTGGCTTGTATGATGTTCTCTCCATCATATGAATGGACCATTAGGAATAAGGCTAATTTGGAGGAGTTGGTGTGTATAATGTTAACTCTAGATAAATGTTATTGTTGGTTTTGATTGATTTTAGAAATGTGACCCACAAAATGGAATTGGACAGAACTACAGATTTATATTAAGATTAATTTTACAGACCAAAGAGAACGATTGTCAGATAAGTATAACAAGCTTGATAAGAATATTTTATGTATTTCAAGATAACTCTTAAAATTGGAAGATTTCATTCAGATTTTACCCCATTATCATAATCAAATAAACAATAAAAAGTAAATGTTGTACTGAAATCATAAACTAAATATGCATTTAACATTCAGTTTAACATGATATAGTATCAATTGAAAAGGGTAAAAATTGAACTTAACTTAGATTTAGGCATATCAGAAACGTTAATTGAATCAAATAAAATTTTGCAGTAGTTAGCTTGTGTCAACTTAATATTTTCAGAGCCAACACAGATAAGAAGAAAACACACATGTCCAACATGCTTCAAAAAGATCAGGTATCTCAAAAAACATTTCGAGCAGACTCACATGAAGGACCCCGAATATAAGATTCCTGAAAATTACAAAAATGATTTTGCACACGAATATACGAGGCAAAGGAAAACATCTGCGAATGTTCGAAAATACCAGTACAAACAATGCCAATCTTGTGGCAAAAGTGTCCAAAGGTTGGACAAACACAAATGTACAAAGGATGTCACAATTAAATCAGCCACAAACAATTTCAATGAGAACCTTAATATGTTTGTCAAATGGCTCATATCACCATCAGGAGGTAATAAAAGTGAAGAGAGTGCCAAACGAGCCGCGCAAAATGTACGGTTCATTGAAGACCTTCACGCTGGAGTTGGAGGATATAATCCTTTGGACTCCAACCTTCTGAACGAGAAATTTATAGAGCCCGCCTTGAGTGGAAAATTTCCACAAATCAAGCAAGCGTCGACCATTAAGTCGTATCTAGAAAGGCTACAAACTTACCACCAATACCTTTTATTATGCAAAAAATCCATAGATTTTGCGCAATTTGAACTATTCAAAAAGCAGAATAGACTATGGTGTAACTCTATGAACGTTAGGTCTAAGAAGAGGAAACTTGAAAACCAGTCCAATGATGCCGAAAACTTACCGACCAAAGATGATATTGTGAAGTATTATGCTTCGCAATATGTCAAAGACACAAAAGCGCTCTTTGGCAAAGCTAAAGTCAATATTAAAGAAATGTATATGATGCGGAATTACATCATGACTGTTATAAGCATTTCTAACGCCTGTCGTGCAGGACCAATAGTAAACTTGGAGTGCAGGCATGTTCGTGTCGCTGACAGGGTTGGAGATTGCTACGTTTACCATGTGAGTATACTGCACAATGATACAGCATAGAGAGAATGGTAATAGTTGGGTTTTATACAAGACTAGAGAGAATGGTAATAGTTGGGTTTGATGTAAGACTAGAGAGAATGGTAATAGATGGGCTTGATGTAGGCTAGAGAGAATGGTAATAGATGGGTTTGATAGAAGACTAGAGAGAATGGTAATAGATGGGCTTGACACAAGACGATAGAGAATGGTAATAGTTGGGTTTTATACAAGACAAGAGAGAATGGTAATAGATGGGTTTGATGTAAGACTAGAGAGAATGATAATAGATGGGCTTGATGTAAGACTAGAGAGAATGGTAATAGTTGGGTTTTATACAAGACAAGAGAGAATGGTAATAGATGGGTTTTATACAAGACAAGAGAGAATGGTAATAGATGGGTTTGATGTAAGACTAGAGAGAATGGTAATAGACTGGTGCAAATATAATTTATTTTTGTTAGGATATACCTTTAACATTTCTAAACTGATACATTCATATTTAGACGATATTATTGGTCAAATTAGAATACCAGACCCATTCACCTTATTTACCGAACACACTGTATATCTTGTATAGGTAATGGAGGGGCAGAAAACTTTTAAAAGTAAAGGTGCTGCCCAGCTTGCCTTGGACACAGTTGTTCACCACCAAATTTTGAAGTACATGAGACACAAGGAGTCTCTATTTGGAGATAGTGGAAAGTATGTCTTTTCAAATATGAAGGGCAAACGAGACACCAAAATCTCTGCTAGCTCTCTAGCTAGAGCCATCCAAGCCCAGCTGCTAGCAGCTATAGGCTATTCCAAGAAGGCCAGTTGTACAGTCTTTCGGAAATTTGCTGTGTCGATTGTGAGTCATTGAGCTTGCTATGAGTATTTTGCCAAATTGTTATTGCTTTCTTGATGATAGTAGAATGAATGTTTTTATAAAATCTTTCTCATCTGAACACCTTAACATAGTCTTCCCGGCCAAAACATTTTATATCATATTTTTGATTTCAATGTTAAAAACCTTGAAATGTAAACACTTGCTCTTCTGGACACTTTTTTCTGGTTCGATTATGTTTGGATTAGACAGGTTGTTATATTAGCAATATTTTACTTTCACAATTTAACATTTCATAACACATTGGTATTACTTCATTCCTTTATCTGTTTTATATTGAAGTTTCAATTTCGATTGTAGTATTAAGAACTGCTGAGGTTGCAGCTGTCTTATATATTTGTGGGGTTTTGTCAGATAAGTATATACAGGGTGGGCCAAAAAACCCAATACCCAAGTTTAAGGATGAATATCTTATTATATAACATTACACCATGACATGTTTTATATATCATTATAAATCATTTCCTTACAATATGATACCATCTGATTGAAAAAACAGTTCAATTAAAATATTTATTAACGATTTAATTTTAATGTTTCATAGTGGTACTACATGTAAGTCTATATGTTACATCCACACTTGTGGCTCAATCAAAGACCCATCTATCATTTCAGATGTGTAGTTTGTACCCAGGGCAAGATGATCGCCAACGGCTCGCTGACTTCATGAAGCATTCTGTCAGGGTACAGAAGGAAGTGTACGAAGTCAGCGACCAAACCAATAACGCGGCAAAAGTCCATGACCTCATGGCCAATGTTTTGAACAATAGTATCCAAGAGGAACCGGGAGAAGGTAAGCAATATGCCCTTACCAAAAATTAGTTGGGTACAATGCTAGCAAAGGTGCACTTTATTCATCGCACCGAGTGTAACATTGGTTATACAATAAACCAGCCATACACCAAACCAGTCACAACAAACAAGCCATCAGCCCAACCAGTATTTAAAACAAGTAACTAACTGGTAATACAACAAACTAGCCATACACCCAACCAGTCATACAACAAACTAGTCATAAAACAAACCATCCATACACTCAACCAATAGCAATGCAATGAAACAGTGGTATAATGAGTATCTACTTCAGTTATCATGAGATTATTTTGTTTAAATTAAAGGCATTGAAATACAAGAGATGCCGGAGGATGAACCCGAAGGGTTGATCCTGGAAGATGATGTTGACCAGCCTCCAACCAGCATCCATGATGATGATGAAGTATGTAGATTTTTAAACATAGCTGCTAAAATCCACTTAGAAAACAATTTTTTTAGTAGTATAGAATATACACAATATAATTGAATGATGTATGTTATCTGCACTTTTTGGATAAATAGAGGTGTTTCATGCCACAAGAACAATACTCACTGAAGCTAACATGTTGATTTTCAATCAATTCTCCCATCAACCAAGTTGTGTTTGCAACCAGGGGCCGTGAATTTGTACCATCCCCAATCCAATCTGGATAAATTTTGGATTACTAATCCGATGAATATTTGGTGAATTCTTACGGTCCGAGGATTATGAGGGGGAATCCCCAAGATTTATCCAATTTGCAAGGGAATTCAGATAAAATTTATCCAAAAAGTAATCCACCTCAAGAGGTGGATTAAGATTTATCCCAGGATCATACGAATTCACAGATTTTTTGATTAATTCTTGGATTAATCCCACAATGCATCATTACCATGACGAAATTTATCCAGATCGGATCGCGGATCGTACGAATTCACCACCCAAGGTGGTGACATTTAGTTTTTGTTTTACAGGAAAGTGAAGAGGATTCCCTCTTCATTCCTCCTGCCCCAGATTCACCAAACCATGACAGCCCACAACCAAGGAAGCGGCAGCCAGTAAGTATACAGGGTGACCCAAAATGACAGATCACTAACAGTGATATATTAAACAAATATTTCATCCATTCATTGTGATTGGAGTTATATAAAAGAAATTATTAATGTTTATCATGGTAGCCCCTCATAAAATCCCCAGGGGGTATAAATGGTGACTTTAAGGTTTTCCACTACTTAGGTTTTTGTAGATTTCTGATATGTTGCTTTACTTACTGATTTTACTGGAGTACTTGTGAAACATCAACAGGTATTTACCAAACATATGATTAGATATTTATATATGATATTTAAAACATAAACAGCTGATCTTTTTGATTTTTTTGTTTTACAGGAAAGGTTATCTGTGTTCACCCCTCCTGCCCCTAGTCCTCCCAACCCTGACAGCTCATCAAGGCAACGGAAGCCCGTAAGTAAGGGTCTACAGGTTGACCCACTCTAAGAAATTTGAAGCATAAATGTTTTTGAAAATTTACATTAGAATAAATTTTATTGATGATGCTAGAATACTTATTGGGCCACTGATTATGTCGACAAAGTATGATGACCCAAAGTCAAATGATATAGTAGGAAGTGAAAGTGTTAAAGCAAGACTGTATTCAGTGATAGGGTAGAATAATACTTTAAATGGTTTATCTTTCTTATAGAAATCGTTCAGTGATGTTATTCATCAAAATCAGCTGGACAATTTGGACTTCATTGCCAAATTAAAGTTGCCAAATCCACCAACACATGAGCCAAGGAGTTTGAGAAAAAGAAAGGTAGAATTAATAGGGTCATTTCATGAAATGTTAGCTGTTTCAGTCAAGGCCTATATATTATATCTGTGTATTTTAATCATCATTCTAACTTCATTAGACTCTTATTGTTTTTTAGCGACATGTTGATATTAATTATATATCGAATATGTAACACTAATCCTGATTGGTCAATCCAGAAATATTTTCACTATATCTATGAAAGTTATATTCCCTCAAATGAAAGAAGCAGGAATATACATTTGAACTTAAGCAGAGGAAACGGGACAAGATTCACTAATTTTAAGCAAGAATGTAAATGATTTCCCCTTTGGAATATTCTCTATAATATACATTTTAGAGGATATACTCTCAGGGAAATAATTTACACTATTGCCCTCAATGGCAGTCACTATTTGTATAATGTTGGCCCTTCAGTCATGATAAAATCACATTGTTTTTATAGAAAAAGATTCCCAAATATGAGGAAGACTCTGAATGGGAAAAGAGTGAAGAGGAAGAAGTAGAAGAAGAAGAAGAAGAAAGAGAACAGGAAAACTTCCCAAACAAGAAGAGTAGGACCTTAAGTTACTCAATTTTTTAAGATACTTATAATAAATGATAAATGCATCATTGGAAACCTGTTTGTTCAAACACCTCTCTTTAGAAATTGAAATGCAAATTAATTACTTCTTATTAATTAACTCTTTATGTCCAATTAATGCCAAGTAAATGGTCATTATGTTAGAATTTCTCATTCTCGTACGACATGACTTAAAGAAATCAGGGAAATTGAAATGCTTCATGTTGAGTTGAACACATTAAAAAGCCCTACTGATTGGTTACTGGACAATATATGATATTGTTCAAATGTGTCGTGTTATAAACATCTTTACTTCTTGATTCCAGGAAAATCAGCTAAGGCCTTTAGGTGTGATGAATGCCACAAGACCTGGGAATCAGCTTGGCTGCTGAAGAGGCATAAAGCTGTACACCAGGATAATGCCCTCTTCACATGCCAAAGATGTATGGCACAGTACAAGCATCTTGATAGCTTGAAAAGACACAAGAAAACTGCTAAGCATTAATTGTGACTTGCATTAGCTTTGATTCTTTGCCCAGCTGCTTCAGCTATAGGCTAGAGTCATTATTGGCGACCAGATATTCCTCAAAGATTCCATTGCCCAGCTGTTTTCAGCTATAGGCTTGGTCATTATTGGAGTTGTCTAACAATGGACTGTGCGGGGTTGGCAAACATAGGGACTGTGGATTGTGCAGGGTTGGCAAACATGGCGAACAGAGTCATCATTGGTGAACAGACATTCTTTAAAGATTCCACTGCCCAGCTGTTTTCAGCTATAGGCTTGGTAATTATTGGTGTTGTCTAATATTGGACTGTGAGGTTGGTAAACATAGCGAACAGATATTCCTTGGAGATTCTTTGCCCAGCTGCTTCAGCTATAGGCTAGAGTTGTAATTGGAGAACAGACATTCCTTTAAGATCCCATTGCCCAGCTGTTTTCAGCTATAGGCTGGGTAATTATTGGAGTTGTCTAACATTGGACTGTGAGGTTGGTAAACATAGCGAACAGATATTCCCTGGAGATTCTTTGCCCAGCTGCTTCAGCTATAGGCTAGAGTTGTAATTGGAGAACAGACATTCCTTTAAGATCCCATTGCCCAGCTGTTTTCAGCTATAGGCTTGGTAATTATTGGAGTTGTCTAACATTGGACTGTGAGGTTGGTAAACATAGCGAACAGATATTCCTTGGAGATTCTTTGCCCAGCTGCTTCAGCTATAGGCAAGAGTAATCATTGGCGAACGAACATTCCTTCCCAGCTGCTTCAGCTATAGGCTAGAGTTGTAATTGGCGAACAGACATTCCTTTAAGATCCCATTGCCCAGCTGCTTCAGCTATAGGCTTGGTATTTAATTGAGTTGTCTAACATTGGACTGCGAGGTTGATAAACATAGCGAACAGATATTCCTTGGAGATTCTTTGCCCAGCTGCTTCAGCTATAGGCAAGAGTCATCATTGGCGAACGGACATTCCTATAAGATCCCATTGCCCAGCTGCTTCAGCTATAGGCTTGGTCATTATTGGAGTTGTCGAACATTGGACTGCGAGGTTGGTAAACATTGTGAACAGATATTCCTTGAACATTCTTTGCCCAGCTGCTTCAGCTATAGGCTAGAGTTGTAATTGGAGAACAGACATTCCTTTAAGATCCCATTGCCCAGCTGCTTCAGCTATAGGCTTGGTCATTATTGGAGTTGTCGAACATTGGACATTGCAAAGTTGGCAAACAGTCTTCTAACCTGATTCTCAATGTATAGTTTCCCTGCCCAGCTGCTTGCAGCTTTATAGGCTTTGCTTGCTTGATTTGTGGATATTTTCCCATGACTATTCCTGCCCAGCTGTTTCAGCTATAGGCTAGAGTCATTATTGGCGAACAGACATTCCTTTATGATTCCATTGCCCAGCTGCTTTCAGCTTTAGGCTTGGTGATTATTGGAGTTGCTAACATTGGACTGTGCTAGGTTGACAAACATGGCGAACAGATATTCCTTGGAGATTCTTTGCCCAGCTGCTTCAGCTATAGGCTAGAGTCATTATTGGTGAACAGACATTCCTTTATGATTCCATTGCCCAGCTGCTTTCAGCTTTAGGCTTGGTGATTATTGGAGTTGTCTAGCATTGGACTGTGCAAGATTGGCAAACATGGCGACCAGATATTCCTTGGAGATTCTTTGCCCAGCTGCTTCAGCTATAGGCTAGAGTCATTATTGGCGAACAGACATTCCTTTATGATTCCATTGCCCAGCTGTTTTCAGCTATAGGCTTGGTAATTATTGGAGTTGTCTAGCATTGGACTGTGCAAGATTGGCAAACATGGCGACCAGATATTCCTTGGAGATTCTTTGCCCAGCTGCTTCAGCTATAGGCTAGAGTCATTATTGGCGAACAGACATTCCTTTATGATTCCATTGCCCAGCTGTTTTCAGCTATAGGCTTGGTAATTATTGGAGTTGTCTAGCATTGGACTGTGCAAGATTGGCAAACATGGCGAACAGATATTCCTAGAACATTCCTTGCCCAGCTGCTTCAGCTATAGGCTTGGTGATTATTGCTAACATTGGACTGTGTGAGGTTGGCAGACATGGCGAACAGTGGACTGTGTAGGGTTGGCGAACAGATATTCTTGAAGATTCTTTGCCCAGCTGCTTCAGCTATAGGCTAGAGTCATTATTGGCAAACAGATGTTCCTTAAATATTCCATTGCCCAGCTGTTTTCAGCTATAGGCTTGGTCATTATTGGAGTTGTCTAACATTGGACTGTGCGGGGTTGGCAAACATGGCGAACAGATATTCCTTGAACATTCTTTGCCCAGCTGCTTCAGCTATAGGCTAGATTGTTATTGGCGAACAGATATTCCTTAAAGATTCCATTGCCCAGCTGTTTTCAGCTATAGGCTTGGTCATTATTGGAGTTGTCTAACATTGGACTGTGCGGGGTTGGCAAACATGGGGATTGGACTGTGCGGGGTTGGTAAACATGGCGAAAAGATATTCCTTGAACATTCTTTGCCCAGCTGCTTCAGCTATAGGCTAGAGTTGTTATTGGAGAACAGACATTCCTTTAAGATCCCATTGCCCAGCTGCTTCAGCTATAGGCTTGGTCATTATTGGAGTTGTCTAACATTTGACTGTGCGAGGTTGGCAAACATGGCGATTGTGGACTCTGGGGTTGGTAAACATGGCGAACAGAACATTCTTTGCCCTGCTGCTTCAGCTATAGGCTAGATTGTTATTGGCGAACAGATATTCCTTAAAGATTCCATTGCCCAGCTGTTTTCAGCTATAGGCTTGGTCATTATTGGAGTTGTCTAACAATGGACTGTGCCGGGTTGGCAAACATGGCGAACAGATATTCCTTGAACATTCTTTGCCCAGCTGCTTCAGCTATAGGCTAGATTGTTATTGGCGAACAGATATTCCTTAAAGATTCCATTGCCCAGCTGTTTTCAGCTATAGGCTTGGTAATTATTGGAGTTGTAAATCTAATAAATTATGAATTGTTTTTTAAATGGTAAGTGGTCATCATTTATTAGAAAACTGCAAACGCCTTATTAATATGGTATAATAAATAATATTAATATATGGTACATTTATATTATTTTTAAGCATTTCCAGGTGACCATTGCGATACCTTATCAGATAAGTATATGCTTCATTTATTTTTTCTCGTCAACATTTTCATTTAACATTAATTAACTTCTAAATGAAAATATAAACCATACTTTCAATTTTTACACCTGATATATGCATACATTATACCATTCCGGATTTAAAGGTCTGTCCGTTCCTTTGTCATTAATTTTATTCAGACTATTTTTAATTACTACCACAACTGAAGATGAGCAATACTTTCTTATCATATATATGGTTGTAGTGTACGCAAATAATTTTCATTGTAACTTGATTTGATGTGCATCCTATTTCAGGATGCTGACAAAGATCATTGTGATGCTCAGCTGTTATAGGCTATAAATTACAGGAAAGTGAAAGGAAGAACTCCCAACAGCCCCAAGCCAGTAAGTATACAGGGTGACCCAGAAAGAAACAGAATTGGTGATGCCATTAGTAGATCAGGCATTGTAATATCTCTTAACATAAAGAATATCTGGAGCATAGATTTTATTCAAAAATATCCGAACCTTAACTTATTAAGATTTGTTATTGCATTTTACCTACATTATTGAAGAAATCAATAAATTTATAAAGTTATCTGCTACTCAGTGAGAGGGTAGAGTGAGACTAAAATTGTGAAAATTTATAAGATTATTCATGTAATGTAACAAATCATTCAGTAAGACCTGTTTAATCCTGTGAAACAGTGTATCATTTCTATTTATTAATGATATATTACATTAATTTAGTGGCCATACCAAGAGCTACTAGGGTGGCTACTGTCAAAATCATAGATGCCTGGCAGGGGGTGGTTGATGGCAAGGATGGCAAGGATGAAAGGAGCAGATTAAATTTGTATTGGGAGACTGGAAAAGATAGTTGGAAAATAACAGGTAATGTTGAATTCCACCAATCAAAATATAATAGAAGCAATCTTCGGAGCTGTCAGGTTAATGACTTCATTTGAATAAATGGTTGAGCTGTCAGGTTAC